ATACAAAATTGTGAGCTAATTAAATTCGGACCCTAAAAATAGAAGTGGAATCAGGTGCAATGGAGGAGTAAGCATCCAATGTCGATCGGACCTGCTGTGTGTCCCTTGTCATGATTAGGTAAACGAGATTGCAGAAATCCTTGTGTCATCAACTTATTTGTCAATAGCCTGCCTCGTTTGAGAAATTGTTCCAACGTAGAAATTGTCGCTGCATATCGAGTCAATTGGGAGACATTAACTCCATGTGTGGTAAAGACATGTAACGTGATAATGGTATTGATGTATTGCTACATAAAATAAGGGAAGTTAACGAAAAGTTGAAGTCATCAAGTTTATCATTAAGTCTCATATCGAGTTCGATTGGATAATCAGCGTAGGAATGAAACTGAATATCGTTAATTGATAAAACGTCGTCGATATATCTAAATGTCGAAACGAAGGCCACATCACGAGCCTTCTTTTTATATAGATGTTTCTGAATAAATTCTTCTTTTTAATAGAATACTAAACAACAGCCCTCGTTAAATCTAGTGTCACAAGAAATAATTGACTTGCATACTGACATGCCATATTTCTTTGGAATAGTTGAGCAATACTTACAAGGTAGGTACATATAATTGAATTGTCTCATATTTATATCTTTACCATGTTATGACCAATTTGTAAACATCGTCTGCTACATACATGTACATCTGAGTAAACATCGTCTGACATTATGGCATTTCGCTCCACATTGATTAATTAAATGTAAATGCATTAGCAAAAGTAATTGCATACATTCCAGATCTTTGCATGAGCATCAATATTAAGGGAAAATAAAGTACTACTTGTATATTCTATGTAAATATTGCATGTACTTGAGTGTAACATTGAAAATTTTCACCCCAAGAAAACCATTGTCAACCGGGGTGCAGCCGAGGTTGAGAATGGTTTTCGAGGGGTGAAAATTTTCAATGTTACACTCAACTATATGCAATATTTATTATATTCTACTGAATGTTTTATACATTTACTTATAACAGTGAACCTTGCGCGCATGAATTCTGCGCAGTCACTATTTTTTGGAATATCACCCGTCGTCAAGCAATTTTGACTGTTGCTACGCTGGAGGGCGTGGCTTCCTCATTCAGCGGGTAATAGTGTTTTTTAACAAATGTTTCTCGACGAATCAGATTCAACTAATTTACATGAAATTATAATATATAAAGATACCTAAAGGTATTAAATGTGCAAATCATTGTCATTAGTTGTTTTTATTTACAATGTACATGTAATTGCAGAGGTACCTAATCAATTTGAGTGTAAAAAAATTTAAGACAGCTTACACTCTGTGTTCACTGCAGCTGGCAGGTAACATTATGAGAGTGGGGCAAATCAGTAAAAAAAAGTACTAAATATTTTTTTAAAAAGGTAATTATTTTTAAAAATTTTAAGAAATCAACACATTTAATATTAATATGATGCATTTCAATTATTTTGAAATTATTATTAAATAATATATCTTAATTCATTTTCTTTTACCCAAATAATGAATCAACTTACTTGTTTATTTTGAAATTATTATTAAATAATATATCTTAAATTCTTTTTTTTTTAGCCAACTAATGAATCAACTTATCTGTATCCATTTACTAGTATACTAGTATATAGGCTTATACAGGGTGTTTCATAATATATGTTACATTTTAAATCTTCTATTTAACAAACACAAGAAAAAGATACACACAAGTGTTTTTATCAACTTGATGCATATATCCATAAGATTCATTATGTACAATTACCAACTAAAATATTAAAAACTGGACGAAACTCAAACATTAATGAAAATTAGTGAAATTTCTAAATTACGTCATTTTTGTTACGTTGAATTTCAAAACGTCAAAAGTCCACGTTACATGTTCTTAATGACCTCCACTATTACACCTACAAATGAAATTAAGTTGCTTCTCGAAATTGGTATAACCTTGTCACAAATTTTTGCTTAGACACTCCTCATTTGAAGGTTTGTTTCTTTTGAGCTCATTCAGTATCTGTTGTCTAGGATTGTAAACCCTGTTCCTAAAGACCCCCCACAGAAAAAAGCTCAAAGATTGAGATTGGCGAAAGCAGAGAGCAAACTCTTTTCTTTGGGTATTGCATTATTGAAAATTTGTACGCTGATAACTTCATATCATATTTCAAAGTTCAATATATGATGGAAATGCTGATATTGACGGCATCAATTGCTGAAAACATCCGTCTTACAGTTTTCTCAGGAGTTTGCTAAACTATCTAAGAGTCTCCACTTCACCAATTAAATCTTCGGTTCTTGAAGTCCTTAGGCTTTCTGGAGTTATTGTGTCATTTATCGCATATTACCCGTCCCTGTCCTTTAACCTTGTCTAGCCTTCTGATAAGCATCCTAAAGAGCTTCCATTCTTTTGGAATATTTCCTTAATCAACTTCTGAATGAATATTGGCGACATGTATTGAAAAAAAAAACAGCTTTACAATTCAGCAATATGTTGATAAGTTAAGTCCATTTCGAAAAATATTCAAATTATGACATCGGCGTTTATGTCACAATTAATCATTGTATTACCATGATTTCCTTGACTTTTTCACATGGAATAAAAATGCAGGATTTGATGTAAAAAATGATATATAGTTTGTAATAGAAATATGATAGGTAAGAAAAATAATTAGATTTAAAAATGTAACATATATTATGAAACACCCTGTATATAAATGACCAGCAATTTTACTCATGTACTTATATGATTTTTATACTTTATACATATATTTTAATATCATTTCTTTGTCAGTAGGGAAGTTCCGATTGATGAAAATGAAATTCATTGCTAATTTCGAGAATTTTAGCCAGGGAGCAACCCAAACATTCCCGCTGACTGTGAAGACATGAAATACTGTCTCTATTTGTATCCCCTCTTTCATAATGCCGAAAAGCCATATCAACCTGACCTATGGCTGCAAAGGAGTACAATCTTTTTTGTTTGGCGACATAATTGTGGCTTTATTAAGATTCTTATGTACTTAACCGTTTCCTGAGAACATCTGTGTCTTTGTTAGTACTCACCAACAACAAAACCATGATTAAAATATCAATAAACCTTATTTTCCTTATTTACCCTACAAAATTTATGTAAAAACAGATTGACTTTAAAATGTATTGCTCTGATCCTTCGACGTATTTGGCTCCAGTTTTAGGCACCTTTTCCAGCTCTTTCTAGTGTTTAAATATGATTGCAGTGAATAAATGAAATTTGTTTACGTCTCATTTTCCATAAAAACACTACGATATTTTTCCGATGTAATTTTAGTAACAGATTTTTAGCCCATCAAAATTTTTGCCCGGGATTAGCACATACCATTTCATAGTGTGATATGAAATGGATGAAAAAGAAAGATTAAGATAACAGTTATATCCAATAGGCACTGTGAAGTACTTATTGTGCGATTTTCATATGGTATATAGGTATATGAAATATTTTATCTGAAGATAACGACCAGTAATCAATCAAATGTCCATCGGAACATTACAAAGGAGAAGAGCAAACACGGACCTTTGAAAAATTATCGGAGGTGGGATCAGGTGCCATGGAGGAGTAAGCATCCCCTGTCGACCTGTCACACCAGCTGTTGCTTATTGGCATGATTGGGCAAATGGAAAATCCGTAGACAATTCAGTGTGAAAATAATCTGCCTAACAATTTGTATAAAAAACGTCAGTTAACATTCGACATAACTATAGATTGTATTTGTTAAGAAGGACATTGTCTCGACCATTAAATTTGCGAATTCTTGATAAAACGAGACTGGTGATATTCTTGTATTATCAACTTATTTATCAATATAGCTTGTCTCATTTTAGAAATTGTTCTTAAGTTTGTTTATTTGTTTGTCTGTTGTTTAACATCCCTCTCGAGAATGGAGACGCGACCACTTGCCGGTGAGGGCTGCAAATTTATACTTATACTCGGCACTCAGGGCCATTGAGCAGTGAGGGATCTTTTTCCGTGCCAACACCTACTGCGACACAGGACTTCCGTTTATACGGTCTCATCCGAAGGACCGGTCTCCATGTCCCACAGTGGGTTCGAACCCGCGACGTAAGGATCAACTCCTTACTCCGCGACTCTAGAGCAGACGCTCTAACCATTGCGACACGCTGGCGACTGTTTGTAAGTAGAACATGCTCTCACGTATCGAATCAACTGGGATACATAAATTCCATATGCAGGTGATAGTGGTATATTGTTACACGAATAAGGGAAGTGGACGATAGAAAAGTTGAAGTCATCACGTTCATCATAGTTTTTTTTAATTAGTTTGCCATTAGTGTCTTTTTCTGTTAAAATATCCAAATTGTTATAATAGATCTGAACACATGTAATGCTCTTATATTACATTTTAATTGCGTGTCCTTCCAGTGTTCGTCAGAAAAGCACAAGAGAATTAAACGTTGAGTACCAAATCTTGTAATCGATCACCTCCTTTAAACTTTGTATCACTCTGTTGGGATGGGGTCATTTTTCAACGGGGATCAATTTTTTATAGGTTGCACATGTTAAAAATAGAACACTGGGGCTCTTTTTTCTACAAAAAGTTATATTTTTCTACGGTTGAGAGGTCATTTTTTCAACGTTTAAAAATAACCCCGGTCATTTTCACGAGGGCCATTATTCGTCTTAACACCGGATAACACCTATCAAAGCTTTTTTAAACAGCCACGTTTTATTCAATACTCACGGTCGGAACTACTTCATATATACAAATGATTAATTTGCAAATTAGAAGTTCTTCATTATTGCTTCATTTTTAAAATGGGAAAATATCGTTGCATTATCTTACAAAACTCTTATTGACAAGGAAGTATATATTTTGTTTACCACAACTTAAGTGAGTTGCGTAGAGATGTCGTGAAACTTTTTTCCCTTACATGAAATTTAAGTATATGTTTTTTTGCTTTTTTTTTGATTTGTGATGGGAAAGGATATAGTAAAATAATCTATTGACGCCAGGGAAATATGCTACAGCTACATTCATTTAAGTAGGTATTATCCTCAATTTCTCTCTTTTTTTTTTTTACATATGTTTTAAGATTATTGTATCTAGTTTATAATCAAGTTAAAAGAAATCAAATTATATTGTTTTTCTTATACTTACAATTTTAGTTCTTCTTAATTCCCTGCAAACGGAATCTACAAACGTTTTACGGACAAATCAGTCTTCATTATGTACCGTTTCATTGACATATAAAAGACTGATTGCAATTTCTGTGATATAATGTATACAATTTCAATCTTTCAGACAGTACGCAAGTATCTTCTACAATGGAGCAGTGTACATATTGGTAAAACTGGTATTATCAACCGTATCTAAAAAGAGGGTTCAATGATTTATTTACTATGATTCTGAACTAAGGAAGTAAAGGTTCATAATTACTTAGTGAAAATAATGAGTCAAGAAACAGTTTCAGGAAGTATATCAGCATGTCTATATACAGTCATATTTATTAAACAGTATATTTATAGTCCCTATATACTGGATTTGATGCCGTCCCAGCAGGCACACAAGATTGAAAAAAAAAAACTTTGAATCAACGTTGATTATATACATGTATGTTGATTCAACGTTTAGTTTATAGATTTTGAAAATTGGTTTCAACGATGAAATCTTGGGGGGGATGGGTTGGGTGGGGTGGGGGTTCATTACTTATTTAAAATTTTAATTGTTTTATGAACTAAGATGCCTTCATAATTATATAAAGGAAAACAAATATAAATCTATATTGTAAACATTTAATTAACTTCCTATCAATAGATCAGTTACAATAAATTTCACAAAAATACATTTTACAATTTACATGTAATCAATTCAAAACCCAAACATTTTACAAACGTTTTGTATTCTCACGTGTGGTCACGAAATAGTCCAATACATGAAAACATTCCAAGATAAGATGTAAATCTTATACGGTAACCATTTTGATGCACCAGATGCACATTTCGACAAATTATATCTCTTGCCAAAATATCGGAAATCCGAAAATCCGTTAAAAATTTATTTAAAAATAAACATTTTTCATTCATCTTGGTGTTAGATTCCTGGTGTTGGAGTCCCGAGGGTGGTGTTGGTCTTCGTGGGTGGTGTTGGACTCCTGGGGTGCTGTTGGTCTCCTGATTAGTGTTCTATCCTGGATTATGTTCGTCCTCTGATTGGACAGAATGGTGCAGCGTTTTACTTGATTACCCCTATAATGTACAATTTGATATAATAAATATTTGTATAGTGAAATATGTTAAAATTGTGTTCAATCTCATAATCTTTTTATTCCAAAATTATCTTTCAGTGAAAATTACGAACACTTATATTAAATAAACAGTATCTTGCGCTTTTTCAAAATTATGAATAATCAATCCAAAGACAAATATATTGAAAACGAATTATTACATAAATACATATATGCAAATATTAGTCAATTTCTTGGATTTGCAAATGATATTTATTGATAAAACTTTAAAATTTAAATGTTTAAAGTGTAATGAGAATGGTTAATGCACTGTACCATTTGATTTCCATGTGTTAACATTTATCAGGCTGTGAGGTGCCGGTATGTCCTTCATTTACAAGGTACATGTACATCTATATCATTGTTTGACAGTGAGATTAAATCTATTTCTGCAGGATGTCTCCTCCATCTCTTTATAAGCCATGTCTACTGTTCGCAAAACACAAAATAAAATTAGGTAAATTGAAAGTGTAACAGGAAAATAAAGAAAAAAATTGTTAAAAGTTGTGTTCCATCAAAGCAAAAGTCTTCCACATGACTTTCTCAACCCAAACTTGTGCAGCAGTTCAATTTTTCATAAAACAATTATCTAAGTTACTGAATTCAAGTAAAACTCAAATCCTAGACATAAAAAAATCATTAAAAGATGAAATAACTTTTAAAATAATGTTGTTTTTTTTTAAAAAATAATAATAATAATAAAAAAAACCAAGGGAAATAGATATCCTGGAAAACAGACGGGAATTCCTGACTGCACCCTCCCCCCTCCATGGAAAGCTATAAAAAGACAGATCCATAAGAATCTGAAAATAAAATTCAGGGTTCCTTAATATGTTACAGACGTGAGAATGGGATGTAAACAGGACTCGGTGTGCAGTGAAAACTGCTCAAAAGCCTTCGATGGAGATGGTAGACTTCCCCTTTGAACATGTTCAAGTGGTCACCCCTACCCTTTCTTTTTACAGAATCCTTGATCCGTTTATGCTATATATCCTAACATTTAACATATTCAAGATGCAATACTCTCAAACCACGAAGATAAATTAACTAAACTACACAATGGAGTTGTCTTCTATGTGGTCTTCATGCATTCTTTAAAAAAAAAAAAATATTGAACTGAAATTGGCGTCAGTTGGAATTCAAAAACATCCATAACCACGAGCAATTAAGATAGATAACAAATCGAGTTATATTTTTAAAAATTTTTAAAACAGCTGTATGTATTATAAAATCTTAAAATTCTCAAAACTTACCAGTAACTGTTATCTTGTCTTTTTGAATATTTTCCGAGTGTCCTGCGCATGCTCTCGTACTTTGGCGAATTTATATTAATTACTGAATTTGTAAAATTCATATATTTACCATTCTTGTTAGTTGTAATAGTTATTAATGATATATGGTAGTGCGACTTTGTCAAGTCCGACCTCGTTATGGTCCGACAATGTTATAGTCCGACATTATTATAGTCCGAATTATCTATCAGCGAAAAATAGGATTCCCGTTCGGAGAAGATCCGACGTTGACAATTCAATTCAATTCGAATTCAATGTTGAATCAACGTTGAAAAGCCAACGTTGAATCGATACTGAATCTAGATTTATCAACGTCTAATATTCAACCTTTAAACAACGTTGTGTGCTTGTTGGGGTATTCACTGGATGATCAGTGCGCGTGTAGTGAGGATTGTGACGTCACAAAGACACCTCAAATAACGTTGTAAACAATGGTTGCAACGCGGTCGGAGCCAGCTGTGTATTTGAGCTGGAAAAAACGTTAGGCAAGCCTATCGCCGGATTATTATCCAAACATTTGGACGGGAAATGATGTTTTACAAACTACTAAATGAAAACACTAACGTTAAATCTTGTTATCTGGACATTTTTAATCTTTCTGCAACACAGGTACGTTAATGAATAAACAATAAAACAATTATGGACTCTCTTGGTGTTGAAAACGGTTTGATATTCACCAGAAAAATATCAATATTGACCTCGCCCCCCCCCCCCCTCCTCCCCGGGTCTGCAGAGGAGTGGGCCAAAAAAACACCAAAAATAAAAATCTTTTTCTTTGCTCTTGGACATCAAGCAGTCAAACTGTTTGGTTGATTATAACATACAATAAGTCTTTTACCAATTTGTGAATTCCATGGCCCCAGGGTCAAGGGTTCTGGAGTTAAGGTTGGATCTATTGATCATATAGCCACTGTATATATTTAGCAAGCAAAGTGCATGAATATGATGAGCAAGGATGCCTCCTTTAAAATTGTGAATTTTATGGCCCCTGGGTCAGGGGTTCCGGTGTTATGGCAGCGCTCTATTGATTATATAGTGAAAGTCCATCAATTCTTTGCCTTCGAGATAGGGACCCCCCGGATCAATCTCGTTTGCCGCGCCGCGTCAAACCTAAGACGTAAATATAGGCACTAGAAGTGAAAGTCACAAGCCTTTCGGATGAGACCTTAAAAACCAATTTCCCGTGTCACGGAAGGCGTTGGCACGATATAGAACGTTCACTACCCTGAGTGCCGAGTGTAGATCTAGATTTGAAGCCCTTCACCCGCATACAATGACGTCTATATATAAGTGAAAAACTCTTGAATGGGAATTCGACAACATACAATCAATCAATCAATTCTTTGACAATCTTCTTCTCTGTTCCTGGGTATAAAGCAAACAAATACTGACTGCACGGTTATGATGAGAAAGGATGCGTCTTTCAAAAGTATGAATTTCATTATCCCCGGGTCAACTGTTCTGGTGTTAGGGTGAAACTTTTTTAATTATACATTGAAAATGCATTAAATAGTTATTTAAAAATCTAATTCTCTGCCACTGAGTATTTAGCAAATATACCAAATGCACGATCATGATGAGAAAGGCTGTCTCTACCAAAATTGTAAAATCCATGGAACCTGGGTCAGGGGTTCTGGTGTTAAGGCGGGGCTCTATTTATTATATAGTAAAAATGCATTATTTTTTTCCTTTGAAAATCTCTGCGTCTGGGAATTTGGCAAACATATAAATGCATGGGTATGATGGGTAAGGGTACCTCTTCCAAAAGTGTGAAATTCATGACCCCTGGGTCAGATGTTCTGATCTATAGCTTATATAGTAAAAATACATTGATTCTTAAAAATTCTTCTCTACTCAGGCATTTAACACATACAGGATGTTTCATAATTTATGTCACATTTTGAATCTACAAATTGACAAACACAAAAAAAGATACAAACAAATGTTTTCATGAATTTGATGCATGTATCCATTAGATTCATTATATACACGTATCAACCAAAATGTTAAACACTGGATAAAATAGCAACCATTAATGAAAATTAGGCGAAATTTCTAGATTGTGTCATTTTTGTTACGTTGAATCTCACAGTGTCAAAAGCTACTATCTCATGTTCTAAATGAACTATTTCAACTATATAAAAGAAAGATGCTTCTCAAAAATTTTTCAAGTCACACATTTTTGCTGAGACATTCATTATTTGAAATTTTATATTCTTTTTGAGCTCATGCACTATCTGTGATCTAGGATTGTAGACCCTGTTCTTACGGAACCCCAACAGAAAAAGGCCTAAAGATTGAGAACTGGCGGATACAGAGGACAAATTCTTTTCTGAGAGTGTTGGATTATCGAGAATTTGTACGATAACTTCATACCATATATCAAAGTTCAATATACACTGGAAACGCTAATATTGCCAGCATCAATTTCTGAACACATCTGTCTGATATGTGGTTTGAATTCAAATATGATAGGTAAGAAAGAAATTTAGATCTAAAATATAATACATATTATGAAACCCACTGTACTGAGTGGATATTGATGATAAGCTAGGGTGTATCTTCCAAAATTGTGAATTCCACGGCTCCTGGGGTAGGGTCTTTGTTATTTGGGTGGGTCCTATTGATTTAAAAGTGAAAGTGCACGTGCATCAATTATTTTAAACTCTTCTTCTTTGTTTCTGAGTGTTTAGCAGATTAAACTAAGTACATGATTATGATGAGCAAGGGTATCTTTTCCAAAATTGTGAATTTCACGGCCACTGGGTCAGAGTCTCTGTTATTTGAGTGGGGCTCTATTGAATCAAAGTCAAAAGTGCATAAATTCTTTGAAAACCTTCTTCATTGTTCCTGGGTATTTAACAGATTAAGCTTAGTGCACAGTTATGATGAGCAAGGATGCATCTTCCAGACTGAGACATTTATGGCTCCTGGGTCAGGGGTTCTGGTTGTAGGGTGAGAGTCTTTTATTTGATTATATAGTGAAAATGCATTGATTCTTTAAAAATCTAGGAGGCAAAGAATACAAAGTTTTAATGAGCAAGGGTATTTTTACCAGAGAAAAAAGTGAAAACCTGGGGCCCGTTTTACAAAAGAATTTACGACTAAGACCAAAATTTAATTCTGCTTATAACTTTTTAATTTACATTATATTGAAAATATTTTTAATCTTTTAAAAAGGAATGTAGTAAAATATTTTTACGCTAGCAACTTTAAACAGAATCATTAGTTTTGCAAAATTTTACAATCACCTTCAGTTTTTGGTCTTAGTCGTGAGTTCTTCTGTAAAACGGGCCCCTGTCACATTTTTATATTTTTATCTAAGCGGAGGAATACACATGTTTTTGTTTATACAAATGTATACATGTATGAAATAACGAGACATCGGAAGACAAAATGTGGGATAGCATTGAATGATATCTACTGGATATAAAATATCAAAAATGTGTTATACATGCACTGGGGATGTAGAAGTATTAAAAGGAATGGTCAAAAACTTCAAGAGATCGAAGTTCGAACCTTCACCCAAAACGTTGACAAAAGAAACAAGCGGCAACTTTGTTTCGAATAAAACTTTCTGTCATCTTCACTTCAAGCCTTAAAACGGAAAGCGTGCGGTTTGTAGTCTACATCGCTTTGTTCACTGTTATCATCAATGTAGATAGGAAAAGCCCTCTCAATACAGAATGTCATCGAAGTATAACTTGTAAGAAAAACATTCAAGGAGAGAGGAAGTCTGACCTTGTATGGATAAACATTTTGTAAATAAGGCTTTACAGCAAAATTGAAACTTTTAAACTCTGTATTGATGCGCATTTATTTTATGCTGAGTATGTAACTAATTACAGTAAAGGATAACAATAACATGTAACAGCGGGTAAGTACAAGAAGCAAATATACCGCCGACTGGATGTAAGTTGAAAGTGCCAGCAATCCTTTTTTAAACTGAAATAGTTTTATGATATAAACACATTACTAGTATATGCTGTCCTCTGATCTGCTGTATTCTTGCAGAATGTGTTCATATCTAGTTAATTTTGGTCAATTTTGAACATAAATCTAATCTCTAAGAATAATATTAATCTCACCGGCGAAATTTGTACCCCTTAGAGTGGCTCATTGTTAATATTGTTTATCAACGCTACCGAGTCTGTGTGAATACATCCAAAACTTTGAAATGCATTGTAAAGTGATCTACTTCATAGATTAAATACATTTTGATAAAGATTTTTTTTAAAAAAAATACTGTATTGCAAATTGATAATTGTTTGACATTGATTTCATTTAAAACATAGTAAATATGTTATTACATGTATTATGTTTAGGGTATCAATGGAGAAGAGGATAAAGAAAACGTGTGTACATCCCTCGTCATGTGTAACTTGCAGTTTATTTAACTTTACTGATCCATTCTTTGCGACTGTTGTTGACATAAAAGACGAATGCACAACGAAATATCAATATAAAACATTTAAACCCATAACACAGGTTTATATCAATGGAAATCTTGAAGAGGAGTTTAATCAAACTCGCTGTTGTGAAGGTTCTCGGACGCTCTTGTATAAAATTGGTAAAGTTTTGAAATCTATATTTATATCTCAACACGAATGGTATTTTAAATTATTGCCATCAAGGAATACCATGCTTATATTTATCTATATAAAGAATCTTCGGTCGGCCTCTGTCATATCATTATAATTATCATTCATTTAAATTATATGAAGTTTGGCTAGGGGTGAAAGATATATAATTTAATTATTATTAGAAAAAGAAAGCACAGATGCTCTAACGTCATTTCCTACCTCGTCGTCTGTAGAGACCACTTACTCTTCCTCTGTCTTCTTCACGACCACAACTCAAAACTTAGATGCTGTTACCATCGTTAAAGAAAACGCTTCTGCAACTAAAACAACAATTTTGCCTAGTTTAACTTCATCACAGTCTATTGACATTCCTATTTTACTCACAGCCGCCATTGTTGGAGTTGTCTTTCTGTTTGTAGTACTTCTGTGTGTTATAGTCGTTAAATGTAAAAGGTTAGTTTAAAAGTTTTATAGTTTATTTTCTTCTTCGCATTGAGGACATGCGCAACTTACCTTACCTACTGATAATTTTTGAAGATATTCTTTAAATTATACCATCAGATGTTCATAAACAAAAAATCAGCATGCATTACCAGGGGTTTTGAATATATAGATATCAATTGATGAAAATTCTTCTATAATTCAAAGAAAAATATACAAAAATTACGAAACATATTCTAGATGTTTTTCATCAAGAATAGTTTTAGAGGAAGTGAATAGCACCATATATAGACATTAAAAGAGTAGCACACAGGTCCTTTAAGTATCGGAACTCTTCAACTCCCGGGAAAAAGACAATAAAAGTTCAAACTACGTTGCGTATGTCCTTAAGAAGACATTTCAGCTAAATAAAAATATATGGATGTTTTTTGTTTTTTTGTTTTTTTTCCTCATTTCATTTTTTTGTCTTGCTAAAAGTTCTTAAAAAGTATTTTGTGTTTTTTTCTGATTATAATCTAGAAAATCAAAAACCTCCCTTGGAATGCAAAATCTTCAACGCCCTGTTGAAAATGAAATATACAGCGTAAGAGAAGCATGCTTACATCTAATTTCATTATACATACGTTTAAATATACATCACAATGTGCAATTTTATCCTCATATAATTGGATTTGTTACAAAATTTTGTCCGACATTTTTTTTCATTACGATTTCTTTTATAATCAAAACCATTGTAGGATGGAGTTGCGGAATATTCAACAGTGGAAGAGACGGCAACTATTGTTAAATCCCTAATTCACACCAAAACAAGATCGAGAGGGACGGAAAATAAACAAGACAATTATTTCATTCTTGAAAAAATTGAGGCATCTTCAAATGCTTGTGAAAAGACTTACAAGACAAAGCACATTCCTTCCACTGAAGAGGATATCTATAACAAGCTTCACGAAAAAGAAAGACGGTCTACTGAAATAGAGGAGAGTGTTTATAGTCACTTCAGCGACTGTAATGAGAATGTATACAGCGAAACAATTCGACGTTAACTGGAAGAAAGATGCACACACTTGTCGTAAATGAAAAGAAACTATCTTTTAATGAAATATTTTTTTTTTAAAAAGCGGAAAAATGACGAACTTTAATACAATATTTACTAGAGATAACAAATGAATATGAAATGTGATACATGGTGTATCATAATTATGAGCTTTATATTCACTTCCTGGTATTAGTAAAATAACCAAGAGTGAGAGAATAAAATTTTACATATTGTATATGTTTGCTTGTTTAAAAATGCTTAAATGTATACATGTAGGTGCTGATGTACGAGGGGTGATCAAAAAGCTCGCGAACTATCTCTATATCTACAAAACCACAATTCAAATCAGAATGAAATTTGGCACACATATAGTCATACACATGTTCTATAAATAACATATGTTAAATAATGTTTTGCTCCGTGTTTGTGACGTCACAATGTGAAAATGACGTCAATATGTAGGTCACTTGTGACAAAAAATGGCTGACTCTGTCTTACTCGAGCAACGAACGACTGTAAAGTTTAACGTTTATCTTGGAAATTCCTTTGCAGTAGAATATGATAATTTGTACAAGGTTTATGAAGACAAAATACTTACCAGAAGTTCAATCATTATTCGGATTGATTGTTTAAGTAAAGACAGGGAGACGGTTAAAAATGATGTTTGTTCTGTTGCTCAGCGAAAGCAAGCCGGGGAAAAGATGTGTCCTTAGTTGAGCAATTTGTTATGAAACATCGTCAAGTAACAATTAGAAAAATGGTTGTATATCTTAACAATAACATAATTATTAAAACTCTAAAATATCGTTTACTTTAGACTTTAAACATATGAGATATGATAAAAAGAAGGCGCCCATACTTTATCCACATTGGAAAAACGACTCTCCCGAGACAGAGGAGTCGGGTTGTGATGGGTCACCATACTAATTGTGAGAAGGGATATCCTTATCTACCCATCCTATTGCCGAGATTTGGCCATTTCTGACAGATGGACTGTTTTTGTTATAAAAAATAACTTGCATGGTAAGAAATATAAGACTCGGAAAGATCTTTTAGCTTCTCTGAACAGACTGCTTCAGAGCATGTCACGTGACTGCCTGGATCACGTGATTCGCGCATGGGCAGAACAATAGCAGATGTGCATTAAAATCGGAGAGGACTACTTTAAAAAATAATAAATACTGAAACTTCATTTTATTTCTTTTAAAGAAGTAATTCAATTAGTTTGCGAACTTTTTGATCACCCCTCGTACATTGAAATAATGGCTGGTTGTTCCAACCATAAATTCAATGTTATAATCTTGGATTTCTTAAATTGTTATCTCCAACATTTTCAGTTTTGTTATGGAATTTAAAAAATACAATTTCACACCCAAGAGCACTCGCGCTAAATATGGAAATCGCGTTGACTGTTAAAAGGGGCTGGACACAGTTGCATTGCCATTATGTTTACAATTTTAAATTTCTATTTTTCTTCAAAAAATAACTTCAGTTTGATGAATTGAACTTGCATGAAAATTCTGAGAATTCAATGACAACGACATTCTTCATAACATCAAGCCAAACATCTGTGTTTGTAAGTAGGGAACGAGCTCAGTTATTACTGTTAATGTTTACAATACTAATGAGTTAGTTTTGCTTTCTCACATTTCTACTGTGAATTCTCTGGATTATAGTTTTAATATTTTTTATTCATACACAACAAAATTTCTACTTTTCTTAAGTATTAAGGATAAAGTTTACTTCATGAAAGTACAAGGATACGTGTCAATCAAACGCCTCCCGAAATTCGTTAATAATTTCCAAATAAACAAGCATTCTGAGAGTATTGCATTAGCAATACTAGTCCCCTACCGGCAAGTGTAATCTGGTTCCCGTTAAAAATTGAAAATGCCATAATTTCGTCAAAAATCAATGAAGCGGAACGAAATGCAAACTTGGTCTATAAATCATCAAGGTTAAGTCACATACCAAAAATCAGCTCAATATCTGCAAGTGTTAGAAGAAAATTGCGGAAAACCCTTAAAAGTTGAAGAGGTCATAATTCCGTCAAAAATCAATGAAGCGAAACGAAATGCAAACTTGATCTGTAACTCATCAAGATACACTCACATACCAAAAATCAGCTCAATATCTGCAAGCGTTTAAGAAAAAAGTGCGGAAAACCAAGTGGGACAGACTGACAGACAGACAGAGGGACAGACAGACAGACAGACGGACAGACAGACAGGCGGACAGACAGACGGACGGACAGACTCAGAGGAAACCTATAGTCCCCTCCGGTTTCACCGGTAGGGGACTAAAAAAATTTCTAATTAAGCTCATATTATATTTCGACGCGTAATGCTCTAGCAACATATAAGTCATGATATTATACTAAAATTTTTAGAAAATATTAACTTCAAATCTGTGTCCAAGACCTTTAAATATTTATTTATAGGGTTTGGGGGTAAAATGTGTTTTCTGGATTTTGGACCCAACAACTGTTTGCCTAAGACCGTTAACTGGCGTTAAGCCACACAGTTTGGTTCGAGGGTTTGGCAAGACGCATTCTTCGCAAGAACACAGTCAACAAATGTTTTGTTATACCTTTTTCTTTTTGTTATGATGTACATGTATCTGGCTTCAATATTTTTGATAAGCATGTATTGCGGATTTAACTCGGTCAGTTAAGTAACATTCGAACATCAACGAATATAAATAAGATATACAGTTAGGAATAAACTAGAGGCCCATGGGCCACAAAGCTCATCTGAGTAACCTTGGCTCTGCTTTTCTTCAGGAGATTTGCTCAAAGATTTTTTCCCTCTTTAATCCAATGAAAAATTTTGACTCTGTAATATGGCCTCATCCTAGCCTCGAGTGAGAATTTTTAATATCAATGTGACAAACATGGTCATGCAGTTCTTAGACAAGATTTTTAATAAGTTTCCCCCTCATAAACATGAATATATTTAATGTAAAATTTAATCCCCAATTTTAACCCCACCAAAATTCAACTGTCCCTAATTCTAATAAACTTAAAATTACATGATAAAAGAATGTTTGCACATCAACGTAAATTAGTGTCACCCTGCTACTCTCAAATTCAGGAAAAAAATCCTATTATATTCCAAAGTAAAATGTAAGGCATCCTTCTAAAAGCTCTTTAGATATATTTTGGAATACTTGGGTAAAATTATATTGAATTTAATTATGATATTTCAAATGAAAAAAAAAACACACATTTAACACATAAACAAAGATTCTGTCCCTATCTTGTTCCAGTAAAATACACCGTAATACTAATGTTAATTTTATGGGTAAGTAATGAGATATGTCGTGTCACATAAAAAGAATTTAATTTCATGTCGCCAACTCTCTGAATATTATGTATTCTTAATAACGTATAAATCCCAATTATTATTAAAAGGTGTTATTCATCATTATAGTTTTAATTTTCATTTTAATTTACCATATAGGGGAGGGGGGAGAGTGGAAAGACTCAAGTTCGAACAAGACATATTTCCACAACTTTAATACAGCAGTAATTTTAGAGCCAAAAGATATATATCTTGCTTAGTTCTTACAATTAGTCGTAATGTTGAATGATATATAAAGATTGGATTCATTTGCATATAATAAACAAGACCTCGGAACCAAACCTCAAGAAATACACTGATACTGTGCACAGTCCACGAATGTTCATGAGATGAGAAACACTAATTAACAGTCATTGTTTTCCAAGATATAACTCCTCTCGAATGAATTGGATTGCAAAGCTATATAAACCTCCTGAAAGAGAAAAAATAGCTTTTAAATGAACTGTGAACTATTCATGTAGTACAATCTGACCTCCTTTTCAGAATCAAGGGAAATTAATTCTCCCTTCCTCTTAACTCGGAATTACTGCAACAATTTTAAAACTTCCATTTATCAAATCTATGCTCAGTTACAAAAAAGAGTTAATTTCAAGATCGACTTTACTTTTTCTTGATCCGTGTTATTAACAAAAAAGCAAACATCACCAAAGCAAAGACAGAAGACGATTATAATGGTAGTTTTTGTTGTTTCTTCTTCCTGATTCATGAGATTAGTTATGTTGTTCAGTTATTCAGTTCCGTTTGTACTCAAGGATAAGATTTTATCTGTGCTGTCTATAATTTAAAAAAATACATGTGTTAAACGTCCATTTTTAAAATTACGGTAATCATTTAAACATTCTAACTCATACCACTTAGCCGTTCTTATTAATGTACTTAGAATGATCCGAAACTTTGCTACAATGTACACGTTACAAATATGCTGTGGTAAATTGTAAAAGTAAAGTACTTATAAAAGCAAATTCAAGACTTCAGCTATATTACCTCTGTTATATTGTATGTCAATGCTTCCCTAACAGCAGGATTCGTCACTTTCATGCACCAGAAACATGGCCGAGTTTTTCACTGTCATATTATACTTCTCTTTTAATGTACATTGTTCCCATTCCACTTTTGTTACATTGATAGCTTTATCAATAATCACATATGAACACTTTCTACACCAGTTAGGAAATGTGCACATCAATGTTATCAGAAATGCCATTGTGGTAAGAGTATTACATGTCAGTTGGATTTTCAGACTGCTTTTGTTATTGACACCTCTGCTAGAAATGTTGACTTAAATAAATGCAGGAAAATGAAGGAAAGACCAAATATGTATTTTAGAAACTTTACATCCGCTTTCGTCATTTTTTATTGAGAGTACAGAGCTTATTGAACATTACATGTTTGATTTTGTATTTATACTGCTCTTATATTCATTTTACAAAGAAGTACATGTAAGTGTAGGGTCGTATAGCAGCTTTAGTAATGTGCTAAATAAGTGTAGGGTCGTATAGCAGCTTTAGTAATGTGCTAAATAAGTGTAGGGTCGTATAGCAGCTTTAGTAATGTGCTAAATAAGTGTAGGGTCGTATAGCGGCTTTAGTAATGTGCTAAATAAGTGTAGGGTCGTATAGCGACTTTAGTAATGTGCTAAATAAGTGTAGGGTCGTATAGCGGCTTTAGTAATGTGCTAAATAAGTGTAGGGTCGTATAGCGGCTTTAGTAATGTGCTAAATTAGTGTAGGGTCGTATAGCAGCTTTAGTAATGTGCTAAATAAGTGTAGGGTCGTATAGCGGCTTTAGTAATGTGCTAAATAAGTGTAGGGTCGTATAGCAGCTTTAGTAATGTGCTAAATAAGTGTAGGGTCGTATAGCGGCTTTAGTAATG